AGAAGAGAGGAGGAAGGGGGGCTGGGTAGCTTTAACAATCCTTAACAGATGTGCTGAATTTTCATGTGAAGCTGCCAGGCCTCAGGTGGAAAGGGGATGGGGAAACAGGATAGACCCAAATGCTTCTCAGCATCATGAAAGAGCATCCCAATGAGTCTAAAGGACAGGATGAGCTAATTGGGAAATACCGTTTCCTTTACATTGGATTAGGCTGGTGGTCTTCAGGGAAATTCATATTTTCTTTGCCCTATGTGTCTTTTCATAGGTGCCAACCTGAGGCTTCCTCGGATGGGGGAGCCTGAACAGGACTGTAGGACTCTGAAAGTCAGTTTGCATGCCTGGAGCCCATCCTCCCAAACTGTGATGCTGAACAGAGACCATCTGTGCTCATCTGAGTGGAACTCTTGGCGTTCCAGAACATGAAGGAACAAGAGGAAAACCTGCCCTTGAGGAAAGGAATTCTGTTTCCCAGAGGAAGGAGGTGGTGTTCGGGCTGAGAGACTTGGAGGGGGGATTGGATGATGGCAGAGAGCATGTCAAAGGTGAGAAAGCCAGGTATGGGGGTAGAACAGGTGTCGGGGAGAGAAGCGTTTAGCTTAGCTATAAAAGTACTATCCAATGGAAAGAAAAATAGAAATTTTGAAATTGTCTTTAGTTGAGATGTAGGCTAATAAATTTTAAAAAGATATTTTGGACAGAATTATTAAAATTAAATTTTATATAAGCCAGCCAGGCATATAATCTTAATTTTTTTAGCAGCCATAATTTTAAAAAGTAAAAATGAACAAGTGATATTAATTTTAACAAGATCCAAAATGTTATTGTTTCAACAAGTAATAAATATAAAAATATTAATGAGATATTTTACATTCTTTTTTTGCACAAAATCTTTGAAATCCAGTGTATATTTTGCACTTACAGCAACTCTCTATTCAGACGGTAAATTTTCATTGGAAATACTTGATCTACTTTAGATTTCATAAAACTCACAATTGAAGAAATAGATTCATGCGTGCAACTTGTTTAAAGCATATTTAGACATTTTCCAATGACAGGAGTGATTATACATTTTTAATTTTAATTAAAATTCAGTTCTTCATTCACATTAGCCACATTTCAAGTACTCAATAGCCACATGTGGCCAGTGGTTTTTGTACTGAACAGTCAAGAGATAGAACTTCAACCCTTCTTCCCCCTGCTTTGTTATACTTTTATTAGCAGGTCTGGCCTTCAGGAAATAATTTAATGCATATTCTTCATTGCCTGGCTTTGTTACCACACACTGAGAGAGTGTGGGGAGACAAGGTGGCCCAGGGAGCATCAGACCTGCTGTTCCCCATTTCTTTCTGGGTAGAGGTGGGGACAGTGTTAGGATGGTCCCAGGGACCTTGAGGACTGTGTAATAAGAAGAATCCACAATGAGGGATAAGCCAGAACAACCATAAAATGATACTCTTAAATTGGGGACTTAGGACCATTCATGTTCTGTTGTAGAAATGGGAAAAACTTTATCTATAAATAGAGATGTTTTTGTTAAAACAAATACAGACCCTTGAAAAGAATACAGGATCTCATTAGATTCTCTAAAATAAAAAATAAAAATATGTCCAATATCTCTGATTCTAATTAACAGTGTATTCTAGGACATAACTAATACAATAAGGTGAGAAAAATATAAAAGGCTTAAAGATTAGAAAGGAAAAAATTAAACTGTCCTTTTGCACAGATGATAAAATGACTTACATATAAAATACCAAAAGAATCTGAAAATTATTAGAATTGATTATTTAAAATTTAGCAAGCTGGCTAGCTATAAAATCAATATAAAAATCAATTGCATTTCTATAACCAACAATAAAAAGTTAATATATTTTTTAAATAAAACTGATGCACCTAGCAATAAACTTAAGAAAACATGTGCACAACCTAAAGTTATAAAATTGTATCTGAAGACATTAAAGAGAGCCTAAATAAATGAGAGATATAACACTTTCATGAACAGGAAGATTTAAATCATAATTATCCCAAATTAATCTATATATTTAAAATAATTCCCATTAATATCCTATCAGGATAGTCTAGAAGCATGACAACATATTAGTATATTTGTAGAGATGAGCAAAAGGCCAAAATAGCGAAGAAACTCCTGAAGAAAAGGAACACAATTGTGAGAGTGACAGTGCTTATTTTAAAGTTATAGTAGTTAAAGCAATGTGGCATTGATGTCAGAATAGAAAAAAAGACCTTAAGAACAGAAAAGAGTCTAGAACTAAAACAAACACACATACACATGAAAATAATGATATCTGACAAAATTTATTTATCAGTGCAGGAAAGACACTATTCAACAAATGGTGTTGGGACAATTGGTTACCCACAGGCAAAAGGAGGAAAGAAAGAGGAGAGGAGGGAAGGAGGGAGAAAGGAAAAATTGAATGCTTTCATTTCTGGCAATTAGAGAACTAAATATCACAGAAAGTCCACCTGATATAGTGCAACTAAAAATGCTGGATGCAACATTTAACATACACACACACCTATTTGTGTTGCCGTAATGAACTGGCTGGAAATTAAGGGAATTCCTCAGACATTAGAGATGTTGTGAAATTATGAATCCCAAGGCACAGATGATCACTTGAACCTGTGTTTGCTAAGCCAACCCCTGGTGGCCTGGAACCTGTGTTTAAAGGGCCATAAGTAGGGACAGAAAACAAAATCTGGGGTTGAACAGTGATAGCGGGATGGAAAACTATCCCCTACACACATAAAGCCAGGATAGTCAAAGAGTAACACCCTGAGAGAGTGATCATTAGTACCTCACAGAGGGCAACGGTAAGGATAAAAACCTATCTTGCCTTATCCTTGGTTCTTGGTATAGTGGGAGAAAATTCTTCCTGGTAATTCAAAATAATATGCTTGTACGCATACAAGTTTGGGGCCAAAATGTATACCACACAAGTGACACCCCAAACCCAAAGACACAAATGTAATATAAAGTGGCCCCAAGTTTGTAGAGTGCTCCTGGGAACCTGGCCAAACTCAATGTAAACCCTCTCTGGGGAATGCACTTTAACCCCAGGCCTCAAATAATTCCTTTATCTATAGTTCCAAGAGCTATGAGTGTACAATCAAAGTGACTAAGCACACAGAGAAACAAGCTACCATAAATATTCAAGCCTGCAAAGATTAGATACTGGGATTTTCAGTTACTGTATGCAAAATGGTTATGTTTAATATTTTTTTAAAACAAATTTTAATATAATGAAGAAACAAGCAATTATAAAAATTGACTAGGTAGATTGGCAAAATAATCAATTATAAAATATAGTAATAAAAATATAGTAATTATAATATAGCTATTAGATGGCACAAACAAAAGATTAATCATAGTTATTAACCTAAAATAAAATGCCTTTCAAAGTGAGAGGCAACAAGCATTTATTTGAGATTTTTTTTCTAAAACAAAAAGCTATTTGGGAATCACTGATTCAGCAGAAGCCCAACTAGTGTTCCAATTAAGAGACAAAGGCAAGGAATATTAATGAGAAAGGAGAGGGGAACAATTAAATCAATAGAAGGAAGGCATTTCTATTGGTTCAGATAAGCTAACATAGTTAACATAGTGGTATTAATTCTAAACAATATTTTAATTTTCAGTCTGGTAGACATCAGTCCAATAGTCATATCTGCTTTCTTTTCAAACAATTCTTTGGGACCCAATGTTGCTTTAGGCCCAGTCCAAAGGTTTTTTTGCCCTGTTAACATTCTGAAGCTTGAGGCATAAAATGTACAAGGCAGTTAGTTCCTCTGGGATTGCAGCTCTGACTCCATTTTAGAGTGGCTCTGTTTATTTTTAACTTTTTTTTACATAGCTGAAGAAAGAATTAGTGAATTGGAAAATAGATCTTAAAAAATGAGGGGGGGGGAACCAAAATGCACTATTAACATATAAGAAAAAGGAAAATGTGGAAAAGAAGTTGAGACATGAAAGATAAAGTGAGAGGTTCCAACCTTTATCTAATGGTAAATCCATAAAGAAAGAAGATAATAATATTCACATATAGCCTCAGATTTAGGAAATTCAAGGGATTCCCACCAAAATAAACAATAAGAAGTGGACATCTGGATTAACAATAGTGAAGCTATAGAAAAATAATAACAAAGTTAAAATCTTAAAAGGGCCCAGCCGGGCGTGGCTCAGCGGGATCCAGGCGATCGGGGTTCAATTCCCGGTCAGGGCACATGCCTGGGTTGTGGGCTTGATCAATGACTCTCTCATCATTGATGTTTCTATCTCTCTCTCCCTCTCCCTTCCTCTCTCTGAAATCAATAAAGATATATTTAAATAAATAAATAAAATAAAATCTTAAAAGGAGCAAGAGAGAAAAGGCAGATTCCCTGCAAAGTAACTGTTATATTAACATCTGATTTCTCAGGAGCAAAAATAAAAGCCAGAGGACAAAGAAATATTCAGCAAAATAAGAGAAAATAATTGTGAACTTATAATTCCTTAGCCAGCAAAATGATCCCTCAAAAATGAAGGTAACATAAAAAAATTAAACAAATAAAACTAAGGAAGTTTACTATTGTTAGATCCTGTATTAGTTTTTTATTGCTGCATAACAAATTACTACTAACTTAGTGGCTTAAAAGACACATTTATTGTCTCTCAGTTTCTGGTTTAGAAGTCTGGGCACAGGTTAGCTGGCTCCTCTGGGACCTCAGAGTCTCAACAGGCTGAAATCAAGGTGTCATCAAAGGCTGCAATCTCATCTAGGCTCCAGGTCTACTTCCAAGCTCACTGATTATTAGCAGAATTCAGTTCCTTGGGACTGTAGAACTGAAGTCTTAACTCTTAGTGGCTATGTGGTCATCTCTAAACTGTGGCATTTTGCTTCTTTCATGGTAAAGAGGAGGATCTCTCTGACTTCTGAGGTCTGACTCTTTTGAAAGGCTCACCTGATTAGGTCAGGCCCACCCAAAATAATCTCTTTAACACAAAGCCTACTGATTACAAACCTTAATTACATCATCGAAATCCCATTTTCCAGGTATGTAACATAATCACAGGCATGAAATTTCATCATATTCACTAGCTCTGCTCATACTCCAGGGGAGAAGATTACACAAAATGTGTACACAAGAAGGTATAAATCTTGTGGTAGAATTCTGTCTACTACAAATCCTCATTAAAGGAACTTCGAAAGGATATACTTTGGATAGAAGGAAAATAACCCCAGAAGGAAGACCTGAGACACAAGAAAGATGAACAAGCAGAGAAAATATTAAACATATGGGTAAAGCTACACAAATCTCAACTATATAAGTAATAACAATATATCTCTGATTTGCAAGATGAATGAAATAACAATATAATTAAAATACTGGGTTACAAAAACATATAAATTCAAAGGAAATGATTAATGTTTAAGAACTCTAAGATCTAGGTCACAGAGGATCAGTCCATCTTGTCTAGGTTTGTTAGTTTGACTGAGGCATTCCAGAGGTTCTGTGCCACATGAGGATCCTGAGCATCTTTAGGGGGAGAAGTTATCACACAGGAACTGCTAAAATATTTTCCAGAAATGCCATCCAGCTCCTCTGCCAAGCTCAGGTAGAGAACTGGGTTTGCACCTTGTGCAGGATCCTGTGGAAACAGGGATTGGGGGGAAGGGGGGGTTGGGTGCGAGGACGGGATATGTCATCAGTCAGGCTTCAGCTGGCTCGGGACACAGTGAGAAGTAGAGCCCTGCCCCGCCCTCTTTGGGCCAAACCACTCTTCCTCTACCCACCTTAATGAAGAAGCTGGAGAGCCAAAAGAGTAAGCGGTATAACCAAGATAAGTGCTTCATGATCTCCGTGTATACAACACCTGGGTCCACAGAGTTCACAGTCACGCCTGAGAAGGTAAGACAGAAGCATAATGCAAAGTGAAGTGAGAGGATGAGGGGAAGAAAGGACTGAGCATGGTTCTGCAGTGTGCAAGGAGGGAAGGGTCCTACCAGGTCTGTTGGGTAAAGCTGACCAGAGACTTGGAGGTGGTACCAGGGACATTAGTGCTCTGTAACTGAATGGTGGTACCCAAGCCAGTAAGGAGACACAAACATTTGAAACTATTGGGTGAACTTTAACAGGAACATGATGCATGGTGCTGGTACTGGAAAATACTGGGAGGAGAGGGATGTTATGGGTTATAAGAGAGTTGGAAAATGTTGAAAAGGAGACATGAAGACAGGGTTGAGAGAACTATAGGGGTACAGGTGGTAACTGGAAGAAATTAACAGCTGGCTTAGGGGACATTGGGAGTATTTTATTGTCAGGACATATTGAGAGGGGTGAAGGGTTGGGAGTGGAGGAATAGCAGGTGTCAGAGGCAGTTACCTGTCCCTTGAAGTCTCCGGGCAAATTCCCCAGTGATTGAGGTCAAAAGCAGTTTGCTGCAGAAATAGTTCTGGTTGAAGGTCAAAGGTCCACCAGCCCCTGTCAGATGTTCCTCATCAAAGTACCCATGTGTTTGCCAAGAGGAAGACACATTTACCACTCGGGCCGACCCTGCCCGTTGTAGTGCTCCTGGGTAGAGAGAAGACCACACTTCTTCAGTCCAAGTCCTAGGGTAAACTCCCATGCCCACTCCCCAGCCCACTTCTCCAGGAGACGCCAGGAGGGCAGGGCCCATCCAGGACCTCAGGAGAGGGTCAGTGGGCCCCACCCAGGCCCTGGGGCTAGGCAAGGGAACAGACTTCATTTGCATTAGCCACTTTCCTAGAGCTCTTCTTCTCTTTTATTTTAGTGTTATAAGTTTTGTTTTGCTTTTCTCCCACTTGCCAGCTAGCTAATTTAATTGACCCTTGTTTATGTTTGACCACACTGACCACTAAGAGGGGAGAAAAGAAAGGCTGGGAACACTGCCAAAGCTGTCTCTTACGTATTCATACGTTCACTCACTTATACATTCCACAAATGTTCATTAGGCCCCTGGATTGTGGCAGACACCAAGATAGGTGCTAAGGACATAAGGGTTTGCAGGGAAAGACATGTGCAGAAATACTTGGGAAGGTGTTTGTTTGTTTTTAAATAACTATCTCCCAAAGGAACAAAAATAAAATTATAATCAATAGAACAAGTTAAATCTTAAATATATTTATATGAGTACCTAACCCTACAAAAAAATCTGGATTATGTAAATTATGAAAAATAGTAATTGTCACTTGAGTTTACAGCATAGTTTTCAAAATGCTAAAACTATTGGAGCCCTACATTGAAATGAAGAATCACAAATGACAATTTAACAGGTGGTATTTAGCCAAAATTTGCTAGAGAGAAAATTATTCTTAAAGAGGACAGTGGACCCCAAGCTTTCAGACATAGTGACATAAAGGCCAAAGGGGTGCCTGGCCAGTGTGGCTCAGTGGTTGAGCGTCGACCCATGCACCCAGAGGTCACAGGTGCAATTTCCAGTCAGGGCACATGCCCAGGTTTTGGGTTCAATCCCCAGTAGGGGGCATGCAGGAGGCAGCAGATCAATGTTTCTCTCTCATCCACGTTTCTCTCTCTCTCCCTTTCTCTCTCCCTAAAATCAATAAAAACGTATTTTAAAAGAACTATAAAAAGCTGGGGGGGGGGGCTCAGTTAGAGATTGATCCTCACAGAGCAATGTTAGTTCGAGGACAGAGATGTGTACAAGGGCTTAAGGGAGCCCTGATAATTGGGGGTGGCTGGGGAGCTGGAGATGTCAGGGCAGGATTCCTAGCACAAGCTATATCTGTGCAGTCTTGGCAGACAAACTAAAGTTAGCCAGGCTAAGGGGGTGGGAAAGGATATTCCAGATAGAGGGAATGACATGTGCAAAAGCACAGCCAGAGGGGGGGAAATAGAACATGGTCCAAGAGCTACAGATTGGCTGGAGGTGAGGGTGTGGGTTAAGGAAGAGCAACGGGTAAGGTTCTCAGTCGTGTAAGTGAAGAGAAAGGGCTTAGAGTTTATCCTGTAAAGGACAGAGTACTGTCGAAGGATTTTAAGGAAGAAAGTGACATGGCTAATGGTGACTTCTAGAAGTGGCAGAAGGGAGAATAGGCTAGAAAAGGGGAGGCAGGAGAGAAAAACAATTTAGGAAACTATTATTTAGGAACACAATTTAGGTTGCTACCTGAATCTCTGTATCCTGGGCTAGAACAACTTTTGCTCAAATAAATGCTTTTTATAAAAAAGAAAAAAGAAAGAACACTAATACTGAGCAAGGTGCAAACACATGTTAGAATTTCTGGAAAGAGGAAAAGTATTCATACTCACAAATGCATAGAGTCTTGCCTTGCTCTCTGTTTACTTTCCAGGTGGGCTAATGTAAATGGACACTAACGGGTGCACGAGAACCTGACAACAGCAGTTGCCTCCCGGGAGGGGAGTGGATAGCTGATTTTCAAGGAGAGGAAGAGACTTTTTTAAATTTTTATTTTTTCTTTCATTTACTGATTTGAGAGAGAGAGGAAGGGGGAGACAGAAAAACATCAATTTGTTATTCTACTTATTTATGCATTCACTGGTTGCTTGTTTGTTTGTTTTTTTTTAAAAAAAGTGTTTATTGATTTTGAGAGAAAAACATTGATCAGCTGCCTCCTGCACACCCCCTACTAGAGATTGAGCCACAACCTGGCAAGTGCCCTGACTGGGAATGGAACCAGAGACCTTTTGGTGCCTGGGCCAATGCTCAACCCACTGAGCTACACTGACCACGGCTCATTGGTTGCTGACTGGAGATCGAACCCACAACCTTGGCATATCAAGGTGATTCTCCAACTAGCTGAGCTACCCAGCCAGAGCCAAGGAGACTTTTTTTCTGCATACCCTTTTGTACACTTTCAATTTTGTATTTTAGATATATATTACCTAACTAAAAAAGAGGCTATTTCACAGTACAACAAAATATGTTAAGGAGAATCTGCCTGACACCCATTTCCCCCTCCTCCCCAGGAAAACCTCAAACCTCTCTAGTCAGAAAGGATTACAAAATCAGAAAGTCAATGGACCTGGGGCCAAGGCAGTGAATTTTTGCCTACTATCCCTGGTATTTCCTGAACTTCTTGGTGTTTATTTCCTTAGTGGCCTAGTGCCACCCTCAGGAAGCTTTGGTTGAGATGACTGACTACTGGTCTTACTGGAACTCAGAGCTGAGGGAAGGAGAAATGGGACCTTATATCCCCTTACTGATTATATTTTGAGCTGCCTGATTCCATAACCAGAATCCTAATCCTGACTTGTGTCAGGTGGTTCCCCTGCTGTGTGCAGCAAAAGCATACTGGATCATTGCTCAGTAAGCAGCTGGGTGCCAAGGGGAAGGAAGCTGCCAGGAAAATGCCAGGGGAATGGAGAAGCAGGGCCAACATAGAAGGTAAGCACACTTCCTTACCTTGCAGTAGATTTGTGAGCAGAAAGGGTCCGACATAATTGGTGGCAAAGGTGAAATCAAGGCCCTCAGGGGTTAGTGTCTTTGGGATTCCTGGGAGGAGATGAAAACACAAGAAGCGCATGATGGGGGGACTACCCTGAAGGAGACGAAGTCTGGGAGGACATGCTGGGGTTCAATAGAAACACCATAGGAATGTGTATGTGCCAAGATGGGGCAATGAACTTTGAGGCTATAACTTGAGGCAGGCTCTTTAGGGTTGTGAATGAATTGTTTCAGCAGGATGTACAGGTTAGGCTTTGGGGATGCCTGTTTTGGGGTCCCTAATCTAGAAAGGAGTCTCCTGAAATGCGTTTGGGGGACGCAAGTCAAGGCACATACCACAGACTGCAGCATTGTTAACCAGCAGATGTATCTCAGGACACTTCTGCAGAAGCCACCCGGCAAAACTCCGGATGGAGGCCATAGAGCTCAGGTCTACCTCACCAAGCAGAAGGCAGGCGTCCTTTGAGGCTGCTTGGATCTCAGCCAGGGCTCGCTGTCCACGCTCATGGCTACGGCAAGCAAGGATCACACGGGCCCCACGGCGGGCCAGCTCCTGGGACACAATCTTCCCAATGCCTGTGGGAGGGCAGCTTCAGAGTAGGCTAGTCTGGGAAGTGACTAGAGGGCAATGGAACAAGGGTGAGGGACAGGGGTGTTGACAGTGAGTGCTGCTCCTCCCCCCTGCCCTCCCTGTTAAGGCTGTTAGGGGCTGAGGCCCCTAGTGAGGTGACAGGGTAGGAGGAACACTCACCACTGTTGGCCCCAGTCACCACTGCAGTCTTCCCAGTCAGATCTGTGGAGCAGTGCTGGAGGTCCCAAAGCTGCGACTTATACCAGAGCCGCGCACTTAGTCTAAGCAGGAAGACTAGAATGAGGAGGCCAGAGCCAAGGCCCCAGACCTGGGTGCTGAGTAGGGCCCACAGCAACATAGCAGATTACTGGCCGGCCACCCAGAGTGAGAAGAGAATGGGAGAGTCAGTCAATGCCGAGTGGACAGTAGCAACGAGGCTGGTGTGGAACCCAAAACAAAATTTAAGGAGGCACTCTCACATTTGTTCAAGCAACTCATTTGAACCCAGCTGTGAGTTCCCCCTTATAAATTGTGTGACCTAGGTACTTGATTGCCTAACCTCTAATCAAAAATTAACAGAAGGGCCCTAGGCGGTTTGGCTCAGTGGTTAGAGTGTCAGCCTGAAGACTGAAGTGTCCCTGGTTCAGTTCCAGCCAAGGGCACGTACCTTGGTTGCAGGCTTGATCCCCAGTCCCCGTTGGCAGGTGTGGGAGGCAACCAGAAAATGTATCTCTCACATGGATGTTTCCCTCTCTCTTTCTCTCTCTCTCTCCCCACCGCTTCCACTCTCTCTGAAAGAGCAATGGAAAAAGTATACTCCAGTGAGAATTTTAAAAAAATTAACAGAAGTGCTTTCCCTGAGCCCTAAGGCCTGCAAAGGCTCAAATACGTCTCCAAGACAAACTTGGATTTGCATTCTAAAGTGACTTGACAGAGCTCCAGGGACTAGGGAAGCCAGAAATCAAGTTCCTCATGTCTTGAATCACTCTGTGTGCTTAAGCAGGGCCATCCCCTCCCTCCCCAACTGAAAGGAGGCTAAGTTCTCCCAGCTGAGGTAGACCCCACCTGCAGCCCTTACAACTGCTGCTTTGTGAGGAGAGGGACGTTCTCCAGAATTCTTCTACTGGGGAGTAGCCTTGGCCCTGAAGCACAGTCTGCTATGGGTGCAAATGGGTTTATTCCCTGGAACCAGTGTTCTATCTTCTTCTAGACCTGCCAGGACAACTGCTTCTCTCCAGTTCAATGAGAATACACATCTCTGAAAGAAACTGACAGATACCAGGCTGATTCTTAAGGCAACTCAGGCGTTTATTTCTGGCAAGCAGACAGAAGGTAGGATTCCCACTGACCGAGAAGTTCAGGGCTTAGATTGAGGCAAGGATTTGGAGGGTGTGACCACACTATGGGGATCGAGTTCTTCATTTGCTGTGCCATGGTCACCTGGGCTTCTGGGCACCTGTCTGGATGGGGTGCTACTCAGTGGGAGGAGAGGTACAGCCTTCTTTGTCCTGCTGGGGTGTGCCAGAGCTGAGCAGCACCTGCGTGGTTGGGTTCCACATGCTCACACCAGGAGCCAGCTTCAAGGCTTCCAGCAGCAACATGGGCTTCCACATCACCTGGGACGTGGCCTCGAGGATGCGGGGTTCGGGATAAGACCACCTGTGAGGATCCTGGCCCTCCTGGTCCCTAGGGTCCAGGCCCTGGGGAGGTACATGGGTGTGGGCGGCCCACAGCTCTTCCAGCAACTCTGCCTCACTCTCCCAGCCCCTGGGCCACTTTGCACCAGGCCACATGGTGGGGCTGGGGCTTCGGGCTATGTGGGGGAGCTCCAGGTGCCTTTTAAGAAAGTGCCTCTCTGGGCTGGATAAGGACCCCATTGACTGGAAGCCTGATGATGACAGGCCTAAGCTTAAAGGGGGAAGTTGGGGGCCGGGGCCCAAAGCAGGGAAAGAACCACTTGGGGGCAGAGGGCAGGAAGCTGCGGGGGAGACTCTGCAACTGGAGCCAATGGCTGGGCGTCTGGCCAGGGCCTCTGTCTTCTTGACCCGCCGGGGCCTGCGGTAGACTTCCAGAGGGCGCACCTCAGAGTCTGGATCCACAATCTCAGCTACTGGGCATACCCACTGACTCAGCGGCCGCACCAAGGCTGCCTTGCGGCCCGCCCTGCGGGGAAGTGAGCTCAGCCGTGACTCTGAGCACCAAGGCTGCTGCGGCTGGAGGGACGCGGAGGGGCTGAGCATGGTGGGGCCCGAGGCTGTGCGGGGCACCTCCTCCTTCTTGAGCACCCTCGGGGTCTGGTCCTGGTTCCCGGTGGCGGGCGGCTTCGGTGTGCAAAAGAACTCCTCTATCGAGGACTGGGGGCTGAGGGGCTGTGCCCTCTCTGCCGATTCCTGGGAGCTGGCTACCAAGGACAGCTCCAGAGAAGGGTGGGGACTGCCAGAGGGAACTCTCTCAACCTCTCCCGCCACAGATGAACACCGCTCTTGGAGGCTCCTGTTCAAAGACCTTGACGGAGACAGGTGGCCTCCTTCCTGGTCTTCCAGTTCTTCTAAAGGACCCCTGGGCTCTGCCTCCTGAAACAGCTCTGGGCTGGGTGGGAGGCTGGGGGTGTCTCTCTGCTTGGAGGAACACTCCCAAGATTCCATCTGCTCCTCAAAACCTCTATCCATCCATGATCTTCCTAAAGAAATCTGGTCTATGCTCCCTTGGTCCTGGGGAAATGCAGGGGAGGTAGGGGTGGGAGGTGGGTAGTGAGAGGTCAGAAAGGGGGGAGAGGAGCTAAGGGTGAAGTCTAGAGAGGCCCTAAGGAAAATGAAGATGCATTGGGGTAGGGGCGGGAGTCGAAGGGAGCCAGGGGTTGGGCTTACTTCACTTTGGAAGGTGTCCTCCAGCCCGTCCGAGGCTGATGCGTTTAGCACAGGCACGGATCCCTGAGCCCAGGCATCCGTCATGCATGCCAAGGGCTCCTCGTCCTCGCCCCACGTGGGGTCCTCGGTCACTGCAGACTCTCCCTCGTCCCGGGCCAGGAAACGCCACTCGATGACCTGCAGCATGGCCTCCCGAGCCTGGCTGATGGTGAACGGGATGCACTGTGGGAGCAATAGAGGGTCTCAGGCAGGCAGGCAGGCAGGAGCTGGAGAGGGGGAGACGGGTCTGGAGGACCCCGATCCAGGCCTACCTGCTGGGTCAAGTAGACTTTGAACGCAGAGTCCATGACTCTTGCCAGCAAATCCGCCAAGATGTCCCCCACCACATCCTCGCCCTCCTCCACAGCCGTGAGAGCTATCCACTCAGCCTCGGTGAGCCGCCCGGGAATGATGTCCACCTGCGGCACCAGCACAGTAGGCGGCCGTGCCTTTTCTGCCTTGGATCTGGTCACCCCGCGGTCTCGGGCCTGCCTCTATGGGAAAGGAATGGGGCAACAGGGTGGGAAACCGAGGAGTGGAAGAGAGAAGGAGCTATAACCTAGGAGGAAGCTTTCTCAAGTAGTCTAGTAGGAAGGAAAAGCCTCTTGAAAGGGACAACTTACCAAGAGAGCCTACTGTGTGACAGATGCTTTTCAGGTGTTTGACCTAGCTAATTTAATTTTCATAATAGCTCACTAACCCCATTTCACAGAGAAACTGAAGCTTGACACAAGTTAACCAGCACTTGCTTGGGATTCCACAGTAAACCCAGGGCATATATGGCTCCAACCCCACAGTCCTTGCTATTTGCACTAGTTCAAAGTTCTCGAGAGGTCAAAGAACTTGAGATAGATGAGTCAATATATGGGTGCTGGAATAATTGGTGCTGTCTCCTCGCCCTCCCCCAAATTAACTTAGATCCTTATTTCACAATATACATCTAAATAAATTCCAGGTGGATTAAAGGATACACACACACACACACAAACAACTAAAACAAAAACATAAACAAAAAATAAAATGTAGGAAAAATAGGTTAACTTGTCATATAATCTCTGGTAAGAAAGAACTATATGAATAATAAAGAAGTAGGTAGTCCTGGCCACTTTAGCTCAGTGGTTAGAGTGTCAGACCATGGACCAAAGGGTCACAGGTTCAATTCCCGGTCAAGGGCACATACCTCAGTTGCACATTGATCCCTGGCCCAGGTCGGGGTATGTATGGGAGGCAACCAATCATTGTGTCTCTCTCACATTGATGTTTCTCTCTCCCCCTCCTCTCTCCCTTCCACTCTCTCTAAAAATCAATGAAAAAAATATCCTTTGTTGAGGATTAAAAAAAAGAAAAGAAATAGGTATACACACACACACACACATATTAGGTAGANTACTTCACTTTGGAAGGTGTCCTCCAGCCCGTCCGAGGCTGATGCGTTTAGCACAGGCACGGATCCCTGAGCCCAGGCATCCGTCATGCATGCCAAGGGCTCCTCGTCCTCGCCCCACGTGGGGTCCTCGGTCACTGCAGACTCTCCCTCGTCCCGGGCCAGGAAACGCCACTCGATGACCTGCAGCATGGCCTCCCGAGCCTGGCTGATGGTGAACGGGATGCACTGTGGGAGCAATAGAGGGTCTCAGGCAGGCAGGCAGGCAGGAGCTGGAGAGGGGGAGACGGGTCTGGAGGACCCCGATCCAGGCCTACCTGCTGGGTCAAGTAGACTTTGAACGCAGAGTCCATGACTCTTGCCAGCAAATCCGCCAAGATGTCCCCCACCACATCCTCGCCCTCCTCCACAGCCGTGAGAGCTATCCACTCAGCCTCGGTGAGCCGCCCGGGAATGATGTCCACCTGCGGCACCAGCACAGTAGGCGGCCGTGCCTTTTCTGCCTTGGATCTGGTCACCCCGCGGTCTCGGGCCTGCCTCTATGGGAAAGGAATGGGGCAACAGGGTGGGAAACCGAGGAGTGGAAGAGAGAAGGAGCTATAACCTAGGAGGAAGCTTTCTCAAGTAGTCTAGTAGGAAGGAAAAGCCTCTTGAAAGGGACAACTTACCAAGAGAGCCTACTGTGTGACAGATGCTTTTCAGGTGTTTGACCTAGCTAATTTAATTTTCATAATAGCTCACTAACCCCATTTCACAGAGAAACTGAAGCTTGACACAAGTTAACCAGCACTTGCTTGGGATTCCACAGTAAACCCAGGGCATATATGGCTCCAACCCCACAGTCCTTGCTATTTGCACTAGTTCAAAGTTCTCGAGAGGTCAAAGAACTTGAGATAGATGAGTCAATATATGGGTGCTGGAATAATTGGTGCTGTCTCCTCGCCCTCCCCCAAATTAACTTAGATCCTTATTTCACAATATACATCTAAATAAATTCCAGGTGGATTAAAGGATACACACACACACACACAAACAACTAAAACAAAAACATAAACAAAAAATAAAATGTAGGAAAAATAGGTTAACTTGTCATATAATCTCTGGTAAGAAAGAACTATATGAATAATAAAGAAGTAGGTAGTCCTGGCCACTTTAGCTCAGTGGTTAGAGTGTCAGACCATGGACCAAAGGGTCACAGGTTCAATTCCCGGTCAAGGGCACATACCTCAGTTGCACATTGATCCCTGGCCCAGGTCGGGGTATGTATGGGAGGCAACCAATCATTGTGTCTCTCTCACATTGATGTTTCTCTCTCCCCCTCCTCTCTCCCTTCCACTCTCTCTAAAAATCAATGAAAAAAATATCCTTTGTTGAGGATTAAAAAAAAGAAAAGAAATAGGTATACACACACACACACACATATTAGGTAGATAGGTGTGTGCATATATATATATATATATATATATATATATATATATATGTATATATGTATATACACACATACCTATTTTTATAAACATTCCTAATATACAAGCTGATATTAGTAGTTACCATTTTCTGGCACTTAAAGTATAACAGTCACATACATTGTCTTGACTCAATTCCTACCTTTTTTAGACTACATACTATTTTTTTTTTAATATATCTTTATTGATTTGAGAGAGAGGAAAGGAGAGGGAGAGAGAGATAGAAACATCAATGATGAGAGTCATTGATCGAGCCTGCAACCCGGGCATGTGCCCTGACCGGGAATTGAACCCCGATTGCCTGGATTCTAGGTTGACGCTCAACCGCTGAGCCACGCCCAGCTGGGCTACATACTATTTTTATTTCCACTTTATGGAATTTGCCCAGATCCCACAGCAAGGAAGTAATGGAGTGATAATCTATATGCAGGTCTGACTCCAGAGCCTGACTTCATATTGCTTCCCCAACAAAAAGTACAGAGTGGGTCAAAAGTAGGTTTACAGTTGTGAATATGTGAAACACAGTTTATTCATATATTATTATTTTTTAATTATTGTATTATTTTCCATATGAATAAATGTAAAACATAAATATCCCCAAATATATTAAAAACTCATATAAAATAAGAACAATCATAAGACTCCAAGGATAATAATAGGCAAAGGACATAATATTTCACAAAAGTGGAATTGTAGTCCTTGCCAGGTAGCTCAGCTGGTTGGAGCATCATCCCCATATGCCAACGTTGCAGGTTCAATCTCCAGTCAGGACATATACAAGAATTAACCAATGAATGCATAAATAAGTAGAACAACAAATCTATGTTTCTCTCCCTCTCTCTCTCTCTCTCAAATCAATCAGTCAATCAATCAATAAAAAGTGGAACTGTAGATGATAAACATTTGAAAACATGTCTAACCATCAAAAATATTAATTCTAGTTTTATAAATGCACTCAAAAGCATACCCTAAAGTTAAAATTAAAATATATTCTTCAACATATCCCCTGTGGTGTGATTTATAATAGCAGAATATTGAAAACATGTGTCTGACAAAAAGAGAATAGATGGCCAATTGTGCACTATCTTCATGATGGAATATTATACAATGATTAAAGGTAATCTTTAGGAAGAATTTGCAAAAGCATAGGAAAATACTTAAGATTTAATGTTAAATGAAAGAACAGGATACAAAATTACATATAAAGTATGACCTTAGATAATGTAAACCTGCATGTGTTGAAGAAAAAGAAAACACCAAAATTGTAACAGTAAGCATGTTTCTTTCCTATGCTTTTCTCTATTTTATAAGCTTTCTACAGAGATTGTATCCTTTTATAATCAAGAAAAATCTACTTAGGAACTTTCCTAAAATCTCTCAAACAAGTATCATCTGGCCTCTGCATATCCCATACCTCTTGCTAAGTGGCCCTAGGCCCAGCACTAGTGGCAGCCCATCTTGGTTAGCAGCTTGGCCTCTCCTGGGCACCTCCAAGCCCAGTACAAGTAGCAGTTATGTGCAGATCACTCTGCAGCTCGTGCCTTGTGGCCCCAGGCAGGGCACAGGTGGTGGCTGACCTTGCACATCCTGGGAGGTCCCAAAGCTAGTGCACCCAGTGGACAGCTTCAGATCATGTTGGATTATAACCCTACCACCTCCACAAGTGACACACTCAAGGGGAAGACTTGGTGAGCACCAAAGCCCCACTGAAGCAAGTCTTGCTCCGTAAAGCTATAGGGTCGACTCCTAAACAGCAGCTCCACTGTTGTAGTTGAAGCCAGTCCTTGCAGTCAATCGGCCTGGGGGTCAATCCCTCTCAGTGATGCCAACAGCAATCAAGGCTCAACTACAAGAGGACAGTGCACACAGTCCACACAGAGGTGCACCTGGAACACCCAGCTCTGGTAACTGGGGAGGCTGTGCCACAGGGCCCCACGGTACACCTACTACACAAGGCCACTCTACCAAGTCTGGGAGACATAGCAGCTCTACCTAATACTAGAAACAAACATAGGGAAGTAGCCAAAATGCAGACAAAGAAACATGTCCCAAATCAAAGAACAGGAGCAATCTCCAGAAAAAGAACTAAATGAAATGGAGGTAAGCGAAATACCAGACACACAGTTCAAAACAATGGTTATAAGGATGCTCAAGGAACTTAGTGAGAACTTCAACAGCATGAAAAAGAACATAGAAACCATAAAAAAGAACCAGTCAGAAGTGAAGGATACACTAACTGAAATAAAGAATAATTTACAGGGAATCAACACTACAGTAGATGAAGCTGAGAATCAAATCAGCAAGTTGGAATAAAAGAAAGCAAAAAAGCCCAATCAGAACAGAAAAAAAAAAAAAAAAAAAA